GACTCAGGTTCGCGATTCACCCTTTATCCCCCATATGCTGTGACGTCTGATTCTGTTTCTGTTTTTGCTTCTGTACCCCTTTTCCCACTTTTCAGCGCATTTGGCTTTTCTTTTGCAGCGAGGAACATTGCATTATTTATGTACAAGCCCTGGGAGGAGTTTCTAGAATTTTTGTTAATAATTCTTACCAGCAGCTTGTGGAATACGTACAAACGTACGTACATAATTTCGCTTTTTTTTCCTAGGCTATTAAGCTGATGATTTTAATGAGTGAATAATGTGTTTGGTTTCCCCCTCGAAACGTCAACGCTGGCCCCAGTTTTTCTGCTTTAATTTTTTAATAACCTTCAAACTCTTGACTTCGGTCGAGTTCTTTAGCAATTCGTTCGTTTGCCTTCGACATGTGTCGGCGGTCCCCCGCTTGGAAAAGTTCCCAGTAGCGCACCAGATTCGAGTGGAGCATTAAATTTGTCATTAGGCCCTGGAAATTACATCAAGTAGTGTTTCTGCGCTTCGTAGATTTATCTTTTAAATATTTAAACGTTCTAATTGGCTGACCGTCGGCCACTTGAGGCCTTCTTCTGGTTTCTGGCTTCTGGCGCCCTGAGAACGTTTTCGGTTGACATAGATAATTGTACTGGCCGCGATTATGTAGCAGATTATGCGGCACACAACTGACAAATGTCTGGCTTTTCCCCGCAGGGACGAGGACTCATTGTGGGGCTTTCCGTGGCGGGGGTGTGTGAACTATAATGAGCCAGAGTTGACTTTTCATTTTGGTCTTGTCAAGTGCTCGAGGCTTCTACATTTTTAAGATGCCTTTCCTCTGCCCTCTGACATACGACTCCAAGACAGCCACCGCTCCACCGCTCCACTCGGCTTTCCGTCTTTCGCCTCCACTGGAAAAGCTGTGACATTTTTTATGGCCTGTACTGATGTTTTGACCCAGTAATTTAATGATGCTAAATGGCGTGGCAGTTGATTGCCGGAACATGCGGGCGGGCCCTCTTGGGGGAGGGAGGTGTGAGAAAGCTTCTTGAGTGCAGCAAATGGCAGCAAATTCAATTTGTAGCCCGAGCTTTCGAGACACCACAAGCTGTTGACGAAGAGCGTTCTCGTTCTGTTCCACACAGAGAAATTGGGGGATTCAATGGAAATGCTCTAAAGAGATATGGTAAGTACATTTCACAATTGGTATCTGAAAAATACATTTGCCTACGACACTTTGAGTAGTAATCATGCATTGGAACATCCATCTGCATATTTGTATATTTTATATTGTATTTTTTGGGTCTTGCCGCAACAAAGATTTAGAAATCATATTTCCTGACTCTTATTACTTCCAACTAGAAATCTAGCTCCTTTGGCTTCACAGTCCCAGGCCCATTAAAGCCAGGTTTTCCCACTCGAGATAGCCAGCATATCAGTGGTCATATCAACGAGCTTTCCACTCCAACTCGCAGTTCCATCTCCGGCAGCCATCCCACCGAAGGGACTTGGAAAAAGGAAGTAATCCATTCTGAGTGCAGTTTTCAATATCACTTTCCAGAGACAACTTCCTGTCCCGGCTGGCCGGTCCGCATCATCATCAAAAAGAGGCAGCGTCGAGGAGAAAAACTGTTGGCACTTTGCATACAAATGTGCTACCAAGCCGAACTTATCGCAACATTTTAATAACTGGCGGCAACAGTAGCCAACTGCAGATGGTGCAGCAGATCTGAGCCGCAGCTCGGCAGCTCGGCAGTCCGCTTTCAGTCAGCTTTCATTAATTACCAAGAAAAGCGAGTTTTCGGAGTGTTCTTGCTTTTCCTGCCAGTCAAGAAGTGGCTGCCAGTCGCGGCCAGTATTTTTCGCCAAACTGGCGAGCCCGTCAACAGGTTGCGGGCTGGCGTTGGCCCTAACTGGGCTCGCAAACTGGCTTGGAGCCGCGGCTCTTATCTGGCCAGCACATCACGCAACATGCGCGTAATTTTATGAATGAAGTGCCCGCTGCCGGCCAGGACTCAGAATTCAGCTGGGACCAGCGAAACTGGAAACTGGTCCGGGATCTGCCTCTTAATTGCAATCGCACCTCGGCAACAACAGCAACAGCAACATCTCCGGCCAGTGCAACAGCTAGAAGAGCAAGAACAGCAACAACGGCAACAAGTGCAGCATCAACAGGCCGCAGTTTGTCAGTCAGGTTAACAAATTGCGTTAGGACGGAGCCCAGTTGGCCAACCGGTTTGGAGCACATCTGTGCTCGGCTCGGCTCTGGTGCTGGTGCACTTGTTGCCGCAGCTTCATCATCGTCATCAGCAGCAGCAGAAGGAGCGGCAGCAGCAGCAACATCGGTGCAACTTCTGGAGGAGCAGCCGCACACACTGGCAACTCGCTTATTAAATATGATTATGTGTTCGATTCTGCGCTGCTCTTCAAGATGCTACCAGTGCGACTTCGGGCTTGGGTGCCGGGGTAAAAGTACGGATGGCCACAGGAAGTGGAGCCGCGCCAGGCGTCGTCACATTGGCGGCAGCCCCCTTTCCCCCTTACCCCCTTACCCTTTCCACAACCCCCCAGCTCCCCAACTCCTTAACCCCCCAGCTTCCCATCTTCGACAACTGCTGCCCACTTTTAATGAAGTTTTCCGTTTCGTGATGGTTCTGTTGACTTTCCAAGCCGGGTTGGATACCCTCTTAGTGCGTTTGTGGGGCCGGCCAGGGAAAATCAATTTCCCCGGAGGAAAAGCCCCGGCACAGTGTTGGCTAGGGCATTAGAAAGTCCTCTACTCGGGAGCCCTTCCATTACCGCCAGTGCCTTCGCTAAGCTGCCAAGCAAAATAAAAATCCATTGGCCGTTCAAATGTTTTAATTAAAATTTAATGAATTCAGTGTACTTAATTATGCATTGTTGTTTTTTGCCCTCGCTGTTTATTCCTGGCGCGCAGACGGGGTATGCTGAAAATTAAATTTAATTGTTTTATTTTTCTACCATTGCACTGAGTGGCAATCAAGGCGTATATGAGGCAGAAAAAGCGTCGAAATTTGCGGCGACTGGCAGCCCAAACATGGTAATTAAAATTGCATATATATTAGAATTGATTTGATTATGGAAATATGTCAAAAACGTTTATGGAGTTAGCCGAAAACCTAACTGAAATTGCTGTTTTAATTAACAGGAATTGCGTTGAGCCATCGAATAAACAAATACTCAATTTTACTGTAATAATAAGCAATCTGAATTCAATGGAACTGTGCAATGGATGCAGCAAACCTTGTGCACTTTGTAAATCAATAAAATAAGTAAACAAATTATTTCAGTGCAAACTAAAACATCAAAACCCCTGAATGGAAATGCTAAATCGAATGCTGTGTATTTGAATATTAATTAAAATTAAATCACTGCCAGTCAGCAAAACGTCATATTGGCCAAAACAGGATTTTAAAGTCATAATTTAATAGGAAATCTTTCGAGACCAGAAACAAATCCGAAACTTTGTTGAAACCACCTGTCTGGCCAGCAAACCTCTGGAGGCTGTGAAAGCTGATTGCCCCAGACCAAGTCCACAAGCCGTTAATGCCGCTTTTCAGAAATTAACAAGAAAGGAAGCTAGCTTCGGCAAGCCGAAGCTTATATACCCTTGCAGTCATCAAATATGTCGAACAAAACGCATAAAGGCTAGACAACATCGAAGCTAAGACGATTTTTCTATTCATTTTCCATATTTTTGACTATAGATCATATGGGAGCTATACGATATAGTTGTCCGATTTTGATCAAATTTACCTCGTAATTCAAGAGTCGTAAGAACACTCTATATTCCAAAAATCATACTTGTCTGATGAAAAACAACGATTTTATCAATTTTTTTCCATTAATTCTATATATAATTTTCGATCCCTCCTATGGCAGCTATATGATAGAGTTATCCGATTTTGATCAAATTTAATCCGAAATTCAATAACAGTTAGAAAACGCCATCTTGAAGAATTCAAGTCGATCTGATGAAAAACAATAGAGTGAGAATTTTTTATTTCATTCTCTTGTATTGGAGCTATCCGATATAGTCGGCCGATCCGGCCCGTTCCGACATATATACTGCGTGCAACAACTACACAACTTTTGGGAAAGTTTCAGCACGATAGCTTTAAAACTGAGAGACTAGTTTGCGCGGAAACGGACAGACGGACAGACGGACAGACGGACAGACGGACAGACGGACAGACGGACAGACGTACATACATATTTCGATTCTGCTCGTGATGCTGATCAAGAATATATATACCTTATGGGGTCTGAGGTGTCTCCTTCACTGCGTTGCAAACTTCTGACTGAAATTATAATACCCTTTTGCTCTGCAAGGGTATAAAAATATGTATTATTAAATGTTCCATTAATTAAGGTGAGCGGCGCAGCTATTAATTAATAAAACTTCCTAACAAAACGAAGCCACTTTGTCTGGCCCGAAAAGTAGAATCAATTAGGCGGCATTTAAGGTGCAAGTGGGCACGCCCACCAGGAGAAAGCCTTCGGGGCAATAAGAATGAAGAATGATGACCGAAGTCATCTAGCTGATTGATGACACTTATTTCTGACTTCGGTGAATCTTTAAAGGTATTCTGGAGAGCAAAAATTATAAACATTAGTTCACTAGAGCTATGAAATTTCATATTGTATACAACGCTGTGTTATGTTTTTAAAATCATTCATTATCTTCTTAACATATCCTCCACATTTATAAGTTCCCCCATCCCTTGAAATGAAATACCTTTGTTTTAATTTGAAAAATTTGTAATTTTATTCAAATATTTTTCCGTTTCTGAAGATACAAAAATTTGTTTTATTTTTTGTCGTTTATGTTTTTTTTTTTTTTTGTGTGGATTCACCGCTTTGTTTTCGTTTTTAATATTTTAAATATTACATTATAATATTTATTTTATATAATAAAAGTTTATTTTACACACGTACTTAGCTCGTTTGCTCTCCAACTTTCTTCAATTTAAATGCAAATGCGGTCGAAGTCTAATTTATAATTAACATGTTTATTGAATTTGTATTTATAGAGTTCTTTAGCATAATTTTTGGCGCTCGCGCGTGCATCAACTTCTTTACCATGTATATAATTATTGTCATGCATGATAAAAAGAAAGTCGCTGAATGCTGTAAATACGTACTTTGAATATATTCAATGTTTCGAGTCTTAGGCCTATCAAAAGTCACACTTAAAATGTCTATATAATTGAAGTCGCTATTTCGGTTTGGTGATTTCGAATCGGGTTCGTTGGAAGTCGAACGCTTGCGCTTTTCGGGCCTGCTGTGTATATTCGTTATGTTTACATGTTTACAGTACGTATATTGATAAATATCGGTATGTCCTATAGCTTAAACTTGAACAACTGCTAATGAGAATGAGTCACGACTCGCCAGACTCGCAATATATTTAGACTAAGGCTAAAATGCGTAATTCCTACTACTTAATATCGAGAGACCTTACTACGAATTAATATTTTGAGAGTGTTGCGTTGTTCCTTCCCCTATTTTTCTTTTGTTTTTCTTGTTGTTTTTCTTTTGTTTTGTGGTGTCTACTAATGCTGCTGCTTCTGCCGATGTTCGGGTTGTGGTGGACTAAGTGGGTGGAGGGCAGGCATTTCGTAGAACGGGTTGCGCACCTGCCCCGTGGCCAGACCAATACCCCGAATCCCCAATCCCGGGCCCCAAATTAATTGGAATGGGGATGGGAATGGGAATGGGAACGGGAAAGGGAAAGGGGTCTTTGGTCTTGTGGCAAACGTTTTGGCCTGCGTGTTTCCATCTCCGAGTTGCGGTGGTGCCAACGTCTCCAGAGCTTTGGGCACAGGTACTTATCACAGCCTTTGAGCGCCGCATGCAAATGTCTTTTCTCAAAACACACTCAACACGGTTTCTCCATTTGCGCTCCGTAATAACCAACGTCGTAAAGTAATAATTACAAACATAAAATCAAAATAAAATTCAATAAAACCAACGGCCAGCCAGTCGTAACCGAAAGACACGATTCAATTCGATTCGATTCGATTTGATTCGAGTCCAGTTCTGCGTGCGTCCCTCACTTTCCTTGTTTCCACAGGTGATTATGAATGATGTATGTCAATCAGTCTAGCTGGGTTTCGGTTAGCTCGGCTTGGTTTGGCTTGGCTTGGGTTGGGTTGGGTTGTCTGTGGCTGTCACCGACGCTCAGCACGGCTTAATAGGTCTGCGGATGAGAAGAGCGGGCAGGTGGGGCGGTTGTTAGAAATGCGATAAACACAGGTTGTTCTTAACAAGCTGTTAATGACTGTGGAGCGGGAGAGCCATGAGATCGATCTGGATCATTATGGGGAACGGCCTCCGTTTCGAAATAACTTTGTTCGATAATTATCCGAGATATATTCCGCAGGCGGAAACTGATTCCTCCCACTTTTTAAAGTGTATTCCTAACTAGCTTTTCAACTTACCACTGGCGGGTAGGACATGTACTTGTCGCTCATATTGAAGTACGATCCATCGGCTGGCGGCGCCGGCGACGGCGAGGATATATAGCTGCCCTTGATCACCAGGGAGGAGGCGGGCGAGGGGGAGGGGATGTAGAGCCCGTTGGAGATCAGCATGTGATCGTCCTTGGAGCGCATCTGCATGCCCTCGATCATTCCCGTGGCGCTGTTCCGCTGACTGTGCCGCTTGGGGTTCGGCAGGGTGCGGGTGAAGTCCGGATTGCACAGCGGGTACGGCGGGGTGCACATGGAGCTCTCCTGGTACTTCGGCGGGTACGCCGTTGACTGGATGATGTCCACGTTCTCCACGAGGTACGTGGAGGCGGCCGCCTTCTTCTGCACATCCGCCTGCAAAGCAGTGATGGGCAGCTGGTTAGAGTTGAGGAATCAGTTGGTTAGATCTCATTAGTGGGTTAGGAGTGTTCGGCACTCACCTTGTAGACAGACTGGCTGTCGTCCTTGGAGTACACGTCGTCGTTGCTGGGCTCCGCCTCGCTCTGGGACTTGTTCTGCCGACGAATCACGAACCAGGCCACCAGGGCAGCATTCAGAACCAACAGAACCATGGCGGCCGAGGTGATTCCTATGATCATCACATTGGGCAGCTCGTCCTTCTCCGTGTACTCCGCCGAGTGGGGCTGGGAGCCCTTGCTGAGGGTCAGCTTGATGTCCGGCATGAACTTGCTACCTCCCGCCTCATTGGCGGCCATCACGGAGAAGTAGTAGGTGGCTCCGGGCTTCAGGCCATCGAGGGACACGTTTAGGTATCCCGGCTTGGCGTCCACATACTTGTACTTATCCTCGCCATGCTGCTTTAGTCTCAGTCGGAAGTAGGTCTGCATGCCTCCATCGAATCCGGGCGTCCAGTTCAGCTCCACTCCCGTGTCGCTGACATTTCCCACCCGCAGCTGAAGAGGAGCGTCCGGACGAGAGGGCTTGCTGAACTCCAAGGTGGTGCTGGCCTGTCCCAGGGCGTTTCGCACCACGCACTCGTACTGCCCGTAGTCATCCGCCGAGGTGTTCTCGATCAGGAGAGCGGACTCGTAGTTGAGGGCATCCACCTGGCGCTCCACACTCTTGAACTTGTTCCGTCGCTGCATCTTGATGTCCTTGCCATGACGACGCCAAATAAAACTGGGCTGAGGAGCGGCCAGGGATCTGCAGATCAGCTGAGCTCGAACCCCCAAGCGAGCGGCGTAGCGAGTGTAGGAGGGGGAGTGATCGATTTCCGGAGAAGCTGGATGTAAAGAAAATACATAACAAATGGTTAAGTTTATCAGGTTTCACTACATTACTCTTGCTTAAGAAAAATTTAAATATTTATATGACAATTATACTCACTTTGAACGACTAGAAGTACGTTTTGGGCTGCGGGAGCTCCTCTTTGGTTGTCCACAATGCAGGTGAAGTTGCCAATGTCGCTGCGCTCCACCTTGGCGATCTGCAGCAGGGCGGTTCCGTTCTCGAAGCTCGAGATGGTGCGGGTGGCAAGGTCGTAGCCGTCGCGGGACCAGCGCACATGAGCGGCCTCTAGCGGGCGGGCCTGAATGTGGCAGGCCAAGACCGCCGGCTCGCCGGCCACGAAGCTGCGGCCCTCACTCACCGATGTGATTGTGGGGGCGTCTGAAAACAAAGAAAAAACAGGAGAAACCATACACAGTTAGCTCCGTTTTGGGGGTCACTTCTTGTGGCCTTCAACTACTCACATTCGACGGCCACTTGGATCTCCAGCAGAGCGGTGCCCTGGCTGTTGAGCGCCTCGCAGATGTAGACACCCGCATCGTTGCGACTGAGCCGGCTGATATTGAGACGCGGTCCGTCGGAGATCAAACGCTGGCCGCTCAGACTGTTGCTGCTAATGGGCAGGCCGTCCTTGGTCCAGGTGTAGCTAATTGCCATGGGGTTTCCGCTGGCCATCAGCTCCACATGGAACGGCGCTCCCTCCACTCCCACGAACGTGGTGCTCTGCGAGGCCTCGAATTTGGGGGGATCTGGGGGTAAAGGTGTTCGGATATTGGGTATTGGGTATTGGGTATTGTTAGTTAAAAATGTATTTCAAATTAATATTGGGTAGCAATTAAACTCACAAAGTATATCCAAGCTGATGGTCTCGTGCACACTGCGCTGCAGAACTTCATTGTGACTCTGGCAGGTGTAGACGATGCCATCCAGATCTTGGGTGATGTTGACATACATCTCCAGTGTGGACACCGAGCCACCCCACAGACCAGGCCTGTTGGCCAGGTTAAGACCCTCCACGGGAATGCCGTCCTTCCACCAACTGATCTTCGCTGGAGGATTACTCGAGCTGGAGTCGCAGACCAACTTGGCTCGAATGCCAGGCACCAGATTCTTGGGCACAACACTTATCTTAACCGTTTCAGGGGGAACTAAGGGTTGAAAATACTGTACAGTTTCTGAGTCAGCTATAAAAATCTTCAATTGCTTACAATGAACTCCCAGAGTTTTGGTGGCGAAGAGCGGGATATCAATGGCTGCATTCTGAACTTTGCACTTGTAGATGGCATTGTTGTCGGAGGCGTTGACCAGCAGGGAAAGTTCTGAGGAGATCTTGCTGTCCACCAGTTTGGAGGGAGCATTCAGGATCTTATCGTTCTTGTACCACTGCAAAGTGGGCGGGGGATTGCCGCCAGCAGAACTGCACTGCAGTTTCAAAATAGATCCAGAGATAAGGATGTCACCATCGTTGTAGCCAGTCAGCAAAGGCGGCGAAGGGGGATCTGTATGAAATGAATGAATTACAGCATTTTAATTAAATTACACCCTTCAAGTGATGAAGTGCTCAAACGATAAGATCAAAGGGTGGTTTGGTAGACTTACAGAGGACATTTACGGTGTGAGATCCCACCACATTCTGGGTGAGCTCCGTGTTAAGGGCGTGGCAAACGGCGATGAAGGACCTGCTCTGCGAGTCAATGTTCAGAGTGATGTTGGAACTGCTCACCCAGCCTCCGTCGGAGGCACTGGTTGTCTTGTAGGTGCTGTTCTCGAGGGGCCTTCCGTTTATTGACCAACTGATGCGGGCCTGCGGATTCGAGGGGGCAGTCACGCAGCTCAGTTGCACGGAGTCGCCGACCTTGGCCTGATTGGCGCCGCTCAGATACACGTCCTTGGGGGCATCTGCACAAAGAAGTCGTGTTTGCGTTTATGGATGAGTGAAACAAATATTTTTTAAAGCACAAATTATAAAAAAAACAGAACTGTTGGTTTCTTTTTTGAATTTCGCACCGAGGTGAATATGGTTTATGGCTTTTCCTCGCCAGGGAAACTTACACAGGACAGTCAGATTGAGTTCGGCGCGCAGGGGAGTTGTCGCCAGCAGATTCTTGGCCTCGCACACCAGATTGGCCCCATTGTCCTCGGCGGCGGCGGTGAACTTGTAAACGTTCTCCGACAGTCGCCCGGAGGTGCGCTGCGGCGAACTGATGGCCACGCCGTTCCGGTACCAGGTCAACTGGGCCGGGGGATTCCCCCGCGACTGCGGCAGGCGATTTGCACTTCCTGGCCGCGGTGCAGGCTTTCGCCCTGGCCGTAGCCCTCGAAGAACGGGGCTCCCGGGGGATCTGCGGAGGGGGAACAGGCGTCAGGATTAGACACAAAGGACTGGGGTCCAGGAGCCACTCGCACACTTACACAGCACGGAGAGCTGCACCTGGGCGCGCATCGGGACGTCGGGGGGCAGGGCCTTGTGCCGCGCCTCGCAGGAGAACTCCTTGTAGTCGTCCTCGGCGCGGGGCTGCAGGTGCAACGTGGAGCTGGTCGTGAAGCGCTTCGGGGCAGTTTGATTCACCGACACAATGGGAGCTACACGGGGAGAAAATGTCAAGGGAATTGGTCAAAAAACTATATGCAATTTAGGGGATATATAGGTTCCTTGAACTAGGTAACTGCTGAAAATTAAATTTATTAATGTTGTATAAAATGTATACGCTATAATTGATATATCTTTTTGTATTTAGCTGATTTTTGGCCATTATCCTACGACCGTCAGACGTACACGTATATATATGTTCTTTTGCTTTGCAAACTTCTGAATGAAGGGTATAAAAGGAATCGAACTCACCTGTGGCAACTGGCACCTCGCCCTGGAACCAGACAATCTCCGCCGCCGGATTGGCGTTCTCGGCGATGCAGTGGAGCGTGAGGTTCTGGCGCTCCTCCACCTCGACGCGGGCATTCCGGGCATAGCCCTCGATGACGATGCTGCTCGGCGCCGCCACGATGCTCAGCTTGGCGTTGGCCCGGATGGCCGGATTGCCGGCGGCAGGACCCACCTGGCACTGGTATTCGGCGTCGTCCTCCAGCGTGGCGTTCTTGATCTGCAGGTTGTAGGCATTCTGCTTGGCATCCACTAGCACGGAGTAGCGGGGGAACCCGGGAATCACCGCCGAGAAGCCCAGCGCAAAGCCGTCCTTGGTCCACTGCACCTTGCCCGCCCGGTTGGACACCTCGCAGCGCAGGAGGGTGTCGGTGCCCTCGAGAATCTGCAGATCGTGGGGCGTCAGTCGGAACTTTTGCACGGGCGGGGTCGCCCCCTGAACCGGCGGAGTTGGGGCCGTAACTGCGGCCAATCCGTGGCAGATGGTGGCAGCTGCAGAGAGAAAATCAGGGGGTTTTTATTACCATTGGGGAATATATATAGAAGAAGTATTTTTCAATGGAAGTTATTTTGAATTGTCTCTGCCCGAAAACCTTGGTTTTTTAAGGGATTAATTTGCAGATGTTTCTCCCCGTGTAAAACAAAAGGAGATGGAAAGGAAATTCGCATGGTTAATCGGCACGTTCGACATTTGCGCACGTAGTTTGCCAAGTGCACCGGCAATGGGAACAGTTCAATTGGCATCGAACCGACATGGCTGCCTGATGGCTGACAGGGCCGAGAGTCGCAGTTGGAGTCTGAATCTGAATCGGATTCCGATTCGGAATCGGAATCGATGTCGGAGTCGGATTCAGATGGCCACGGTTACCCAGTTTTACAGCCCACACATAAAATACACATTACTTAAGCGTAAGCCCCGACGACGTCGTTCAGTCACATCGCACTAATTTGGAACAACTTCTTTTTTTCTGCCCGATTCAATTCGATTCGATTCGTTTCGTTTCCTTTCCGCTCACATGTGTCAGTCGAGCCGGGGAACTCAACTCAACTCTCAGGCTGTCATTGAGACATGGATGTATCTGTATCTTTTTCTGTCCGTCCATTCGTCCCTCAGTCCATCCGTCCATCAGTCCATCGGTCTTTTGCCGTTCAGTCTGTTTGACGCTGGATCGGCCCACACCTAGCTCAAAGTAGGTCTGCAGCTTGCGGCTCATTAGCATTAAAATGTCTTAAAGAAACGACCCGGCCACGTTCGATACCAAATTGAACGGCCTACTCACTCGGCCCGCTCTGGGTTATGTGTCCCGGGGGTGTGAGTGTGTGTGTCGCCGACCTAATCAGCATTAGGGCAATCTACATAGGTACATAAAAGCATTGACAACTCACGCACACTGTCGCCGGATGGTGGGAAATCTGCGTGTAAATGCCGCGTGTGGGTGAGCTGAGCCACAGGAGAAAGTTCCGTTTCGGTTTTCGGGTTTTGGCCAGGCAATTAAATGGGAGATAATACCCTGCTGGCGAATTAATCATCTCCGATCGAGTTCTTATAAATTACCCAGCTAAAGACAACTGTCGCCCCATCTGCGATAAATAACCCTCGCCCATCTGCGACTAATGAATTGGCCATTTATCAAGCGCAAATCTCTAATAACATTCTTAATTCCGCCGATCGGAACAAGTTTAGTTTTTAATTCGACTCCAGCGAGCACTGCTCAATTAAACTGGTTTCGGTGCCACTGTGCACTGCGCGCCGCGTGAGTCGTGGCCACAAATGGCTGGACAAATAAACAAAGCAAACGCTTCTGTCGTGGACTTCATCAGCGGATTAATTGATTATTTGTCTGCGAAGACAGCGGACAAGGGGACAAGATGGTCTTGAAAGAAGGCGCTCGAAGGAAAAGCGGATATGAATTGGTTTGGGGCGGAAATGTGAAAATGTGGCCAGCGGCCACCCACTGGCAAAGTTACTCATTCGTTTTGAGGGCGCCTCGATTTGCATTCTCTGCCATTCTGCCATTCTGTTATTCTGCCGGCCAAAGTTCAAGCAATTAAGCCAAGCGACAGTTGACCAACTCGGCACTGCCAGAACATTTCCTGCGGCAATTAACCAGCAACGACGACGACGACGACGAAAAAAAGGCAACAAAAAGAGCACAACTTGACAGGTTTTTGCACTGACAATGACGACAAAAACAGAGAAAACTGAGACCGGCCCACTGCAACTGCAGCGACATGCATACAACTCATTTAGTGTCATTACGGGAGGAAGACGGGAAGATGGCTATATGGCTATATGGTTTTATGGCCAAGAGGGTCATCAGGGCCGAGAGGGCGGTGAGACGCTGGCGATGGAAAGACACCCCGCTGGCTCGAAGAAAAGGCAACACACAGAGGGTAATTGTCACACATATGCAGGCCAGGATGGCCAACAAAGAAATCCTTGAAGTGTGACAGAAGGAAGCAAAGAAGCAGTCGAAGCAAGGAGAAGTGTACAAAACACACACTCTGCTGAGTGAAGTAAGTGCAAAGTAAATGAAAGATGAGCAGCAGGCCAAAGGTCCAACCGGTTTAGCATTTCATTCATGGGTTTTCAACCAGCCATCCAGTCAGCCAGCCAGTCGGCCGGCCATCCGTCGTTCTGGCCAGTGGTCAGTGGCCATTCGGGAAGTGGAAGTTAGGGCCCAGAGGTAGAGGCACAGGCAGCTGTAATTGTCAACTGGTCCCACAAATTGTACGCAAACTAAACTAACTGCTCGACCGCAAGGCGTACGTCCGTAGTCGATGGCATTGCCGATGGCGATGATGATGATGTCGATCCGGGGCTCCCAGGACCTTTGCCTCTGGCTCTTCCTCTTCCTCTGCCTCTGGCCAACCACTCCGGATTTGCATGTGCCTGCGGCTGAGCCTATGCCAAAGTCGATTCCTGGCCGCAAGTTAAGTGAGTGTGTTGCCCTGCATTGGCCTCAAAAAGCCTGCTAATAGTTTTCGAGCTCCGCAGGTCCTCTGGCAGGACACTCGGGGAGGCCTGACTTGCTAAGTGACTCACGCAGGAAGTTTGGCGAGCCTCTGGCTTTTATCGGTTCTACTCCGATTCATTCGCAAGATTCTAGCAACTTACTTTTTATAACACAAAAGTTAAAGGCAACAAAAGTGTGTTAATTTCAACAAAGAGAGGATTTCTGATATTTCTTATATTTTTAGGGAAAGGGAATTGTAAATTCAGGTCAAATGATTATGTTGTTAAAGCCAGAAAAAATCTTGTAAAATGTAATTTCTAAAATAAAACGAAATCTCCATCACTTGTTCGCTCATCTCTATCGTGAGTTGTTACGTGTGGCAAAACCAGGCGAAGCGCAACGCCGGATGTCGCACTAATGGTCAACGCAACGCAACGCACTCGAAGGTCCCGGCCCGATTTAGCCCACTGCCGTTCGCTCGGGCCCCCAGTCCTCGAGCATCGGCCGAGATGGCCTGCTGGCCGCTTTGTAAGTTAAACTATCTACAAGTCATTAACTCATACAAAGCCAGCAACAGCAACTGTCGCAGAGGGTGAGGCTGTGAGCCTAGAGACACAATCCAGAATCGAGGGCCAGCATCCAGAATACAGAATACAGAATCCAGCAGCCAGCAGGCAGAATCCCCAGTCCAGAATCCAGAGTGAAGTGAAGTGGCCTGGACCAACGCACACTCGGCTTTTGTTTTCCCTTTTCGCTCCTTTTTCCTGTGTTTTTTCCTTATCGAGACCAGTTTCCAGTTTATTCGCTCACGCTGCCACTTTCTGGTAACTCCAGCGCGTTAATGGAAAATATTGTGGCATATCACAGGAAATCCGGTGAGGTTTTTTTTCGTTTGCTGTTGCTCTTGCTCTTGGCCCTCTTTATTGTTGTTGTTGTTGTTCGTGTTGTTGTTGCTGTTCCACCGAGTTGTTGGCGGCGGGGCCCTGTGCACACTCCTTTTAGCCGGCAGGACACTTAGCCGGCATCTACTCGCTTTGACAAAATTAACGGGCACATAAATCTCCTCTCCGGGTTTTGCGGCTTTGCGTTATAAATTTAATTAAATTTTTTTTTCCTTTATCTGCGCCTGTTAACCATTTTTTGTCGGCTGCTGGCTGCTTGTGAACTTAACAAATGTCTTTTATTATATTGATTAAAGCGGCTTTGGTGTGTCAAATTTGTTGTCAGCCATGTTAAGCGCCGGCAAAGTGTTTCAAATTGTTTTAAATGGCAAGGGAAAGGATTTCGTCGGGGCAATAACAATTATTTTCCACATGTCCTGAGGGTTGAGAACGGAGGCAGCGACTTAAACTTGGCTAAAATGTGAGCCAAGCCGATTTCCCGCTGGCACTTAAGCGGTTTTTAGCCACCCTACCGACTTCCATTGTTCTCATGGTAATACAATGCAGAGGGTTAGATTAGGTAGCAATGCCAATTGGGTACATTATTTAATTATTTCCACGAACTCATTTCCAAAAATATACCTTTAAGCCTTGGAGCTTAAATGCAGAATATAAAGTAAAATAATATATGGTGATTGGCTTGCCAATTCGAGATTTCTAGATGGCTCTCCCCAAAGATATCATCTCGAAAAGAAATACTCTTTCCGCGGTCTTAAAAGCATTTCGAGTTATCTTCCCCATCGCACTGGGACCCTACAGTTGTTGGCTTTGAGGCTTCCGCTTATGGCCAAGTTTATTGCTGACCCAGAACCGCCTTAATCATCGCTGGCAGCCCGCATACCCTCACTTTGGTGTCACCGAAAAAGCATTTAATGTGCGCCTCGGGCACGCTTAATAAATTCACAATAAAACGCATTTGAATCGGGCGAATCGGCTGAATGGGGATCGGGATCGGGATCCGGGGGCATTAACGACCTCGAAATGTTTGTTTATTGTTGTGCCCCCGCACAGATCCTGGAGCTGGCGAATCGTCGCATTACCGAGTCTCTCTCTCTGAGTCAGTGTGTGTTCGAGCACTGATTGAATTATAAAATTTGCAGCTGAACAAACGCCGAATGGCCGGACCAGGCCAATATCAAATGCCAAGAGCCGGCGCTGCGGAACCGGGCCTCTTCGACGTTAAACTAATCAACTAATTTGCTATGAACTTTGTGGTCTGCACAAATTAGAGCGTCCGAGAGGCCAGAGCCCCGGCGAACCCACACCGAATCCATTCGGAGGCATTAACATTAATTATTTTCTGCTTCATGAGCATTTTAGATGAACACAAACTCTGGATGGAGATGTGACCCCGACTCTCAAGTGGAGACCCTCCCGCCACGGGACTTTCATCTTTCGTTAATTAATACAAAAATGTTGCCCCCTCGGTCGCGTCAACTATTTTTTCGGCTATGCGATAGAATATTTTCAAAATTGTTGCCTTACCGCAGCAGTAAATATTTTCCATGCGAAATTGAAAGTATTTTGCGGGCTGGACAGCTTGCCACTGCAAATCTGAATTTATAGCAAGTCCGGAATTCGTCGGGAATGTCAGCTGAAATTTTAAATTTAGTGCAGCAACAAAAAGGCTTCCCGCTCAATTTAAGGCTTTAATGGAACCATTTTTGAATGTTTTTAGGACATCAAAAACAAAGAAAACATAGAGCGAATAACTATAAAAAGCTGGACGAAATTAAATTTCGGCGAGGCGGGAAAAATAAAAATCAATTTTTCCTGATGTCGTGCATAATAAAAACGCGAAGGGAACGAACAGTAATAGATTTGATGATTTTACGACTGTAAGCCACTCCGGCTGTCAATCCGCTCGTCCGACCAGTTTTGTCAACTGCCACATGCGTGGGTTAGGAGTTTTTGAACACCCACAAAGCCGAGCTGGCTCAAAAAATATACGAGTTTTATTAGTCATAAATTGAAAATCATAAAACCCGCTTAGAGCACCTAGCCCCGCGTTTCCGACTATGAAAATAAATTAGTCTGAGGAAATGGGATGAAATGGAAAGTCGGGGCGGGGGACTCCTAAGATATGCAGAAAATATTATTTAGCAGCCTCGTAAAACTTGGTGGGGTGATTTCCTGCAAATGGCTAAACTTTCGCAGGCCGTGGAAAATGAATTTTTGCTCTTGCCCAATATCCTGGAAAGTTTCAAGAACCCAAGGCACTGGGGAGCCGGGAGCAAGGGTCCCACTCCGTCGAGAGGCTATTTGAACAAACAGTCTAGCTGGCCAGAGACCCATAATAGACCCATAAAGAAATCAAAGCAAAACCAGTTCGGTTCAGTTCAGTTCGGGAGGCAAGACTGGCCAAGAGAGCCGTCGACACAACCTACGTGCTGCGAACAGGTAAAAGAGATATATACACGATGAACGTATGAAAAAACTACGGGCTTATGAATGGTAACCGCCAAATGAATGGCTCCACAAAGACTCAAAAGACGTGGGCTTTGCCTCAGTTCGCGGCGCATATTAAGCTGAATTTAAATTTAGCTGGAGCGCAGCTAAGTATGGGTATGGCATGGTATAGTTGAGTATCCGTCTGGCATCCGAACCCAAGGCACGCACCTGGCTTTGGCTGCCTTCTTGGCTCGAACGGCTTAGTTTAATGCCGCGCTGAATTGGCCAACGTCGATCGACGACGGCTGCACTTGTCGCCGCTCGGCTCGCAAATGCCAAGACGGAGTCGATTGCACTTCTTGCCACCGCTCCGTGCCCCGCGTATGTGGCAACTGCATAATTATAATGTCTCGGCCCGGAGCGGTACATCGGAGCGGTTCACTGGCTGACTGGCTGACTTGTCGGCCTGTCTCGCCGAAAGGTCAAACAACATATTTCTGCCGTTTTATTAAGCGCTGAACTTTGCTGGTGGGACAAAATTAGTTTAGCCGAGACTGGAAGTTTTATGAAACCACCGAAAAGTGATCATTAAAAATTCCGTGAGATATTTGAACGGAAAGCCATTAAACAATTCATAACTATGCAAATATGCTCTTAAAATTAGCAACAATCAGCGTTCTAATGGAATATATAAACTCACTTAAGTCCCTTTTTGATTTTTCATTGTAGCTCTTAACTCAGTTTGTTGTTCGGCCAAGTTGTTCATTCAAAGTTTGATGAATAGAACGGTAACCCATAAAACCATTTATAACTATGCAAATCGATTCCAAAATTAGAAGCTTGACAAAATCATCCAACGGAAATACAACATTTCGAAAGCATGTTTAAGTGTTATGTTTTTATTTTTAAAGAAAAACATAGTTTCCGATATTTTATATGTTTTGCAAATATAATCAATACAAAGAAACAATCGTATTTTGAATTATTTATTTTGTCACCCGCACACACTCGACCAGGCTTAAAGTTTTCCTTTTGTTTTTGTTAGTTTTTGTTTAATTTTATTTATGTATGCGACTCCAAACTTTGCTGTCGACCAAGCGACCGAGTGCTCACCCATTTGTTTTTATTAAACTTAATGGTCGGCAAAACGTCGGTATTGCCCATACATTTGTGTATAAATAAATTCGTTTTTTCAAGGATGCGTTCATTAACTTTTTGAGATTTATGTAGGCAGCGTGTGAACAGATGCGGGCCAGCCTCGAAAACCGCTGCAATTGTCAACGATTCCCATTCGAAAGCGAACACAGATTTTAATGGGGGGACATAAAACCCATTTTTTAGTTTTGCACTTTGGCTCATAATGGGGCTCAGTGTGTCGGACAAAAAAGAACCACAATGCCAGCCAGCGTTAGCCGTCACCCATGAGCCAGAAATTCAAGTTGTCTGTCGGCGCTTTGGATTTGGAAACTGTTCGGACATATCGCTCGCTCGGTCACAACTTCCCTCTTGAAAGTTAGATAATCGAGGTACCGCTGCATCGAAACTAGACACTACGGCCAGATTAATGGCTGCGAGCTGATTAGTTTGAGGCCAAGACAAAAGGCAGCACAAAAGGCCGAGCTCGATGGGCCGTAATTAAGCAGAGAGCAGAGACAACGCAACATGGTGCTTTGTGTGGAGTCCCAGTTTAGTCAGAACATGTAAATTATAGATAAGCTGGCTGGCCCATTGTGCCCCATGCTCTACATGCCCAGCAACCAAAATGTTCATTTGTCAAAATTAACACCGCCGTGGAGCCGCCACAAATCGAATCAAAAATGCCGCCAGGTATGGCTAATACCAATCGAGAGATCTTCGAGTCTCTGTGAATTGGGACAAATTGATTAAAGGCGAACCCTTATGCTTCTTAACGGAAGGGGTAATCTTCTAAATTCTATGCTCAGTAAAGTGGAGTAACTGGATGTATCCGAAAGATACGAAAACAAAATGTAGTGAGTTACTACTATTTCATAAGTGGAGAAGGAAACTGTGTGTTCCTTATTCGGCTTTCTTCATTACAGGAACTCTCCTTTCTTTATTTTTTGTTCATGTTATCTCTACAAAAACATCGGTTTCCGAAATCTCCTGTCCCTATCAATTTGGAGTTCTCACACCCTCATCAGTCATACGGCTTCCCGGTTATTGTCATTCTATTAACTCCGAACCAGGCCATCAATCATCCTATTTCGCTACTCCATAAAAAGTTCGTTAGTGCTAAATATGAACTTTACATTCCTGGCATCTGCAACTAAAAATTGATATAATTCTCACATTGACTCGGCGACTGGTTATTAATTCAGTTTTCACGAGTATCTCGCTTCTTTTTGGGCCAGAAGTTGCCGTACACTTTTGTGGGTTTTCGACCACATCCCAGGCAGTTTAATTGAGGCAACACGGGAAAACAAAAAAAAAACATCAAAAGCAACAAAAATAAGAAATAAAAAAGAAACAAAACAAAGAGATACAAACAACTGACGCTGGTCGAAAACCGGCTCAGGCGCGCCAGTGTGTTGGTGTTGGCCATCCATCATTATGAAATGTTTGCCGGTGTGGGTAAGTGGTGCACCTGCTCGCATTTCGAAGCCTGGGCTCCTCGCCGGTTTTCGGGGGGAACAGGTCCGGCTTGGGTCCTCCTTCATTGATAGCTTCGAGTGCAACTTTCGCATGCGCAAAGTTGCCGGACAGCATATGCCGACCAGATCGGATCGGATCCAGCCCCATCAACCGAGTTCCCCGTTCCCAAGTACCAGTTACCAGTTACCATTTACCAGTTACCAGTTGCCAGTTGGCAACTCTCAGCTCCCAGCTCCCAGCTGCTGCTTCTGTTTTTGCCGTGATTCTGGGCCCGCCGCTTTTTCCAGATGGCCATACACTCGCATACTTATTTTTTGTGCGCCCAGCGTAAGTTAATATGACTTGTAGCACGATGATTGCTTCCTGTGGCAACTCGGCCTGAAAAACCCGCTGACAGCCAGCGACATCAGCGGAGCTTCATCAGCTCGCTGCCTTTTTTATGAATGAAAAATCGCTGTCGCTTCGGCTATCTTGCCGTCCCTGTCTGCTGGCGGAAGTTATAAATTAATTGAGTAAATATCGATTCGCAAACACACATACTTGTATGTACCTACACACATGCCCACATACACATACTATACTCGATGTCTAGGGCTTGTTAATTGGCAGCACTCGAAAGGCAACTCGCAAAACACAGAGCGCTCAAATCCAGCTATTTGCATAGTCAAATTGGCTGCCGGAGCTGTGGAAAACCGAGCTGGGAACTGTTTAGCAGGCGGTGTATCGGTGCTCGGGATTAATGACCATAGAAATCGCATATTCAATTGCTCATCGAGCACTCTCATTCGGCTTTGATAATTTATTGAAAGCGCTTCTTTTTTCCGATTTGTATGCCTTCCACCGCTTTCCACCGAGCATTTCGTGAACTCAGAGTGCCTTTTATGGCGGTAATTTTATGACGACGGCATACGCTTGCCGTCAACTTAGGATAAACTTTATTAATTACCAGGCGGCGTTATTTGCCAATTATTTACTCGTCCTCGTAAATCTTTTCTACTGCCCAAGTTATGTGTCGTTTTTAACGATAAAGCGCAGCTCTGATTTGAGTTGGTTCCTATTCGTACTGCCAAGTGGACTTCTTTCGGGATAAATAAGTAACTGGCTACTTAAGATGCACTTGAGGAGTTAACCAGTCCTTTTCTATTAGTAAATTCGATGACACGTATCGACTTATTAAATCTTTACTAAAAACTTCGACTCTTATATAGCCCATATTTATTATCTTTTAGAGAATGCAAAGCCATACCCGCTGGCTAATAAAAATACGAAAAATTAAATTTTAAGCACGGAACAAGGCTAATCAAGTTTCGAGTTTATGCAAAGAGTCATGCGAAAAAGTGGTATAAAAGCCTTATGTAGAAACAAAACTTTTCCAAAGGGTGATTTTTTAAAATCCAGCCTGAAGAAGAAACTAGAACAATTGGTTTAAAACACAACAAGTCTTCAAAATGAAGGTGTTGGGTGCGTTGCTTTTGCTGCTATTCATTGATTCAATCTTCTGTGGTAAAAACGTAAGAATGAATGTCCTATTAGTTAACCGGAGTATATCTTATACGAATTCCCACAGTACTTTGGACTTGATAAACAATTTCCAAACTGCACAACACTTGACGAGGCGCTCAACGAGATGACTAAACCATATCAACAGAACCCTTCTACTAAAAAGTGCTTTTACAATTGCGTCTTTGAGAAATCTAAAATGATTGCCAATGGCAAGATCGTCAAAGAATATTTTAAGGAAAAATTGAAAAAGGTGAAACCATGCTTGTCTATCGAGGATTCCAACAGGTGTGAGCTGGCTTTCAAGCTATATGAATGCCTCGCTAAGCTTTAAATCCATTTCTGTTTAAGAGTCTCTTAAGAATTCTTAAGAGTTCTTTTTTAAATGGTGGTCATTTTAAGGCCAAATGTCTTGAAAATCATTTAATTCTAGTTCTGCAATATGGATTCAACGTTGTCTTTAAAATAAAAAACTTATGAATCTAAAAGCACTTCTTTTCTTTTACAAATAAAATAAAGTTTTGATGAGCTAATCAATTCGGTGTTACATTTTCTTAATATTTGATTTATTGTGACTATTATAAGTCATGTAAAGCCTTGGAATTTTCAAGTTCGATACGAATCAAGGGATCGATTGTGTTTGGGCGTAAGCGTAACGTAAGGATAAAATAAATAACCAGGTAAATCTTTTCTGCTGCCCAAGTTATGTGTCTCTTTTAATGATAAAGCGTAGCTCGATAGCGAGTTGAGTTAGTTCCTATTCGTTTTTCCAAGTGGACCTCTTTGTAGAGAAGTATGTTTAACTGGCTGGAGGAGCTAAATAGTCTCTTGTAAATGCTAGCCATGAAATTTACGATGGCACGTATCGACTTATTTTATCTGTACTAAGTACTTCGACTCTAATATATCCCTTATTAGCTTTTAGAAAATGCAATTCCATACCCGCTGTCTAATGAAAATTCGGAAAATTAAATATTACACACGAAATTAAGCTAATCATGTCTAAAGCTTATGCAAGAAGTCGTGTGAATAAGGGGTATAAAAGCAGTCAGTAGAACTCCGAGCAGTGTCATACTTCAAAACAAAACTTTACCCCGGTCTTAAGTTCAAAAGATTATATATACTAATAACTTTAATTACACGCAACCGAGAAAAATTTCACAGCTAATAATATAAGAAAGTAAAACCTGCAGTAGAGGCTAGAAGAATTGGTTTCAACCACAACAAGTCTTCAAAATGAAGGTGTTGGGTGCGCTGCTTGTCCTGCTATTCATCGATTCAATTATTTGTGACGTAAGTACGTAATATCCTACTAGTAAGATGGAGCTTAGCTTATACGAATTCCCACAGCCCGATAGATTCGAATCATTTCTTCATAATTGCACAACAAGTACGGAAGCGCGCAAAGAGTTAACTAAACTTAGAACACAAGTAGACCAATTTGAACCTAAGTGCTTTTACCATTGCGTTTTTGAAGATTTTGAATTTATTACCAATGGCAAGATCAACCAAAACATTTTTAACACAAATGCAGAGGACGCGGAAAAGGCGAAACCATGCAAGGCCATAGAGGAACCCGACAGGTGTGAGCTGGCATACAAGTTCCAAGCATGTGTCCACAAGCAATTGAATTTCTCATTATTTTAGTTGAAATAAAATGGTGGTCATTTTAAGGCCAAATGTTTTCAGTTCTGCAATATGGATTCACTGCTGTCTTTAAAATACAAACTAATCAATCCAGAAGCGCTTGTTTTCTTTTACAAGTAAAGTTCTACGGCCCAAGTTATGTATCGTTTTTGCCGATAATTTGTTGCTAAATTGAGTTGGTTCCTGTTCGTATTGCCAAGTGGACCTCTTTGGAGATAAGTATGTTAACTGGCTGGAGGAGCTAAACAGTCTCTTGTAAATGATAGCCATGAAATTTTCGATGGCACGTATCGACTTATTTAATCTATACTAAGTACTTCGCCTCTATTATAGCCCTTTATTAGTAGCTTTTTAGAGAATGCAAATCCATACCCGCTGGCTAATGAAAATACGGAAAATTAAATATTAAACACGAATTTAAGCTAATCATCTCTAAAGCTTATGCAAGGTGTCGTGTGAATAAGGGGTATAAAAGCAGTCAGTAAAACTCCGAACAGTGTCATACTTCAAAACAAAACTTTACGAAAGTGTTCTCCTTTCACCCCGGTCTTAAGTTCAAAAGATTATATTTACTAATAACTTTAATTAGACGCAACCGAGAAAAATTCCACAGCTAATAATATTAGAAAGTAAAGAAGAACATTTGGTTTGAAACACAACAAGTCTTCAAAATGAAGGTGTTGGGTGCGCTGCTTGTCCTGCTATTCATCGATTCAATTATTTGTGACGTAAGTACGTAATATCCTACTAGTAAGATGGAGCTTAGCTTATACGAATTCCCACAGCCCGATAGATTCGAAACAGTTCTTCATAATTGCACAACAAGTACGGAAGCGCGCAAAGAGTTAACTAAAATTAGAACACAAGAAGTCCAATTTGAACCTAAGTGCCTTTACCATTGCTTTTTTGAAGCTTCTGAAATTATTACCAATGGCAAGATCAACCAAAGCGGTTTTAACACAGCGGCAGAGGACGCGGAAAAGGCGAAACCATGCAAGGCCATAGAGGATCCCGACAGGTGTGAGCTGGCGTACAAGTTCGAAGAATGTGTCAAGGAGCAATTGAATTTCTCATTTTTTTCGTAGAATTCAAATGGTGGTCATTTTAATTCGAAATGTTTTCAGTTCTGCAATATGGATTCACTACTGTCTTTAAAATAAAATCTAATGAATCCAAAATCGCTTTTTTTCGTTTACAAATAAAGTTCTACGGCCCAAGTTATGTATCGTTGTTGCCGATAAAGCGCAGCTTGAGAGGGATATTTTGGTGCTAAATTGAGTTGGTGCCTATCGTATTGGCTAGTGGATCACTAGAGGAGCTTACTAGTCGTTTAATTATATAGATTTTGAGCTGATTAGCATGCGATGTATTTACTGGATGGCATTCAACTGAAAGCCCAGTTAACTTTACTCTGTTTCAAGGGAGAAAACGTTGACATCTTCGCATATTACACATCTTTAACACAATCATTTTTAGACCTGCCCGCGGTGACTGTATCTTTTCGAGATCTGTAATAGCGCGTCATGCATAATTGCTTGTATCAGATATGTAGGTGTTCATACTGTACAGATATATCCAGCAGGTTTGTATGTTTGTTTGCTCGTTACTGCCGCTTCATAAGGAGCGACAACAATTGCTGTTGCAGTTGCAACTTGTTTGGTGCCTGCCGCTCATGTTGACGCAGCCTAACTGTCAACTTTCTTTTTCGCCCAGGCTCATGTAATTACAGAGAGCTGGCCGCGAGTGTGTGTGTGTGTGTGTGTAAGCTTACTTGCATGCAATTAGCATAAAAAATATCAACACAGTTTGCATTTATATAACGCTACAAATTATGCATCATTGAAGCTGCCACCGCAGCAGCAAGCTGCAATGACGTTGAATAATGACCGAAAATGCAGTGAAGACCCGGCAGTAACCACCCACCACCCTCGGAGCCACCATGCCGCCGTGCCACCGTGCCACCACCAAGTGGCAAGCTGGCAGTCAACAGTTCGCCAGCGGAAAACAGCCAGCAGGCCCAGACACCCAGCCCCAGCTCCATCTACTCTGCATCTGCATCTGCATCTCCATCTGCATCAACTCCCTCTCCTGGCCAAGACTGGTTGGGAAGGGGCGGGGTCCTGGCGGTCATGTAGGAGTATCAACTTGTAGCAGACGGCGCCGTGGTAGGTGCCACTGACACCTCACGCACACCCACTTCCCAACGCGTTGCAAGCCAAGTGCGACGAGCTCGGAGCAGAGCCTATACGGTACACAGTGACACAAAACAAGCGAGTTTTGTCTATCTTTTAATACTTTACTAGCAAAGCCATACCCGCTGGCTAATAAAAATACGGAAAATTAAATACTACACACGAAATTTAGCTAATCATGTCTTGTTCAAATAAGGGGTATAAAAGCACTCAGAACCCCAAAACAAAACTTCACGAAAGTGCCCTCCTTTTTCACCTCAATTTAAAGTTAAAAAGATTAAGTATACATATAATTTTAATTATACGCAACCGAGAATAATTGCATAACTAATAATATTAGAAAGTCAAGTCAAAACATTACAAGTCTTCAAAATGAAGGTGTTGGGTGCGTTGCTTTTCCTGCTTTCCATTGATTCAATCTTCTGTTTTGAAGACGTAAGAATAAATTTCATACTAGTTAACCTAAGTATATCTTATACGAACTCCCACAGTACACGGATCGATATTTATTAAATTGCACAACACGTAATGAAGCGCTCAAAGAGATAACTAAACAACGGCAAACCAGTTCTGATCTTAAGTGCTATTACCATTGCTATTTTGAGTCAAAAGGAGTAATGGTCAATGGCAAGATCGTTCGTAACCCTTTTAAAAAAACTCTAGAGGATGCGAAAAAGGTTGAACCATGCTTGGCTATCGAGAATCCCAACAAGTGTGAGCTGGCGTACAATCTCATCCAATGTTTCACTAAGCAACTCGGCATTTTCGTTCTCTTAAAACAGTGATAATTTTAAGGTCAAATGTCTCGACAGTCATTTATTTCCAGCTCTGTAATGTGGATTCACTTCTGTCTTTAAAATAAAAAACTAATGAATCCAAAAGCGCTTGTTTTCTTTTACAAATAAAGTTCTACGGCCCTAGTTATGTATCGTTTTATCCGATAAATCGCAGCTTGAGACCGATAATTTATTGCTAAATTGAGTTGGTGCCTATTCTTATTGGCTAGTGGATCACTTTATTGGGTGGTCTGTTTAAACTAGAGTAGAGTCTCCTGTAGCAGACGGCGTCGTGGTAGGTGCCACTGACACCTTACGCACACCCACTTCCCAACGCGTTGCGAGCCAAGTGCGACGAGCTGGGAGCTGAGCCTATACGGTACACAGTGAAACAAGCGAGTTTTTTCTACCTTTAAATACTTTTCTAGCCAGAAAAAAATAATCTTAACCAAGTACTTCGCCTCTATTATAACCCTTTTTAGTAGCTTTTTAGAGAACGCAAAGCGATACCCGTTGACTAATAAAAATACGGAAAACTAAATATTATAATATTGCAAGAAGTCAAAACTCTGCGAAAGTGTCCTCCTTTTTCACCCAAATTTAAAGTTCAAAAGATTTTATATATTATGCTAATAATTTTAATTACACGCAACCGAGAAAAATTCCATAGCGAATAGTATTAAATAGTCAAGCCTGAGGCAGAGCCTACACAAATTGGTTTAAAACATAACAAGTCATCAACATGAAGGTGTTGGGTGCGTTGCTTTTCCTGCTTTTCATTGATTCAATCTTCTGTTTTGAAGACGTAAGAATACTTTTCATACTAGTTAACCGAAGTATATCCTATACGAATTCCCACAGTACCTTGAATATGATCGATATTTTTCAAATTGCACAACACGTAATGAAGCGCTCAAAGAGATAACTAAACTACAAATACGGGAAGTCCATTCTGAAGCTAAGTGCTTTTACCATTGCGTTTTTGAGTCAAAAGGAGTAATAGTCAATGGCAAGATCGTTCGTAACCCTTTCGACGAAACGCCAGAGAAGGCGGAAAAGACTAAACCATGCTTGGCTATCGAGAATTCCAACAAGTGTGAGCTGGCGTACAAACTCACCGAATGTTTCTCTAAGCAACTCGGTACCATTTAACAACCAAAAACAGTGGTAATTTTAAGGTCAAATGTCTCGACAGTCATTTATTTTCAGTTCTGCAATATGGATTCACTGCTGTCTTTAAATAAAAAACTAATGAATCCAAAAGCGCTTGTTTTCTTTTTCAAATAAAGTTCTACGGCCCAAGTTATGTATCGTTTTTGCCGATAAAGCGCAGCTTGAGAGCGATAATTTGTTGCTAAAGAAGGGTATAAAAGCAGTCAGTAGAACTATGAGTGTCCTTCTTTTTCTCCCCAATTTAAAGTTCAAAACTTAAATTGTAATTTTAATTACACGCAACCGAGAAAAATTCCATAGCTAATAATATTAGAAAGTCAAGCCTGAAGCAGAGCCTTGAAAAAATGGTTAAAAACATAACAAGTTTTCAACATGAAGGTGTTGGGTGCGTTGCTTTTCCTGCTTTCCATTGACTCAATCTTCTGTTTTGAAGCCGTAAGAATATATTTCCTCATAGTTAACCGGAGTATATATCTTACGAATACCCGCAGCTTGAGACACCTGATAATTGCACAACCCTTGAAAAAGCGCAAAAGAGATAAAAAAACAAAGTTTTTACTCAGTAACCAATGATTTTAAGTGCTTTCACCATTGCGTCTTCGAATACAATAAATTTATTGTTGATGGCAAGATCGTCAAGGATGCGGCATCCAGAATAGCCAGTACGCCAGAGGAGGTAAAACAGGTGAAAGAGTGCCATGATGTCACTGATCCCGACAGGTGTGAGCTTGCGTCCAAGTGGTTTAATTGTGTCCGTGAGCGTCTTGGTGGTGTAAGGTTTGAGAAAGCGTTGTCATATTATCAGTGAAATAACTTGTGTACTTTTATATAGCGGTAATTTTAAAGCCGATACCGGCAATTATTTGTATTCAGTACCGCAATGTGTATTCCCTGCTGTCTTTGAAATAAAAAGATAATGATTCTAAAAGCGCTTATATAATTTATTGTGCCCATTGTTAATCACTTTAAGCCCTGCAATTTTTAGGTTCGATACGAATCGTTACGAATCGAAAAAGCTATACATAAAAAATCCGATTAGTGCTAGAAACTGATACTGATCATGGCGATCTTTAAAATAATGCTATAGATAAAAATCCGATTAGTGCTAGAAACAGATACTGATCAGAATCAATCTTTAAAATAATCAGAAAAAGTCATTGGTCCTCTGTGGTCCTTTTAACTCAGTTATCAACAAAAAAAAAGGGAAATTAATTTTTAAAACATGTTGACATTGCCATTTCACGCTGTTAACGATCGATTATCCATATGCATAACGTCTAATCACAATTGGCCGTGAAATCAGAATTAGCAGTGATGAGAAGCGATTATGATTGGGCGTAAGCATGAAGTACGACGATATCAATTTCACGAGCCTGGCTCATAGCAGCTCAAACTGGGAAAGTTGGGTGGTGTTCCTGAGTGTGTAGATACACAAGTGTGTTCGAGGGGCGGGGCGGGCACCGCCAGAAACCACCGCCCCCTTGTCCCCTTCTCGATGTGAATACGCATGAATAGACAGAAGCTGAGCTTTGAAAGCGCATTCGCATTCACACTCATGCTGGAAATCGCATTCTCCAGCGCTGAGTTTTCACTCACTTGACGTGCAAAGTACTGCAAAAAAACGGCATAAAACAGAATATGTTTGTGCAAAATAAAAACCCTGGGATAGATCCTAAGGAAGAGCGAGAAATTGGTTCAATTTGGCACAAAGACGAGGCGGGAGTGGGGCTCATTGGGCCCGGTCTCATCACACGGGCCTATTGAAGACCCGGCCCTCCAGTTGAGGAAAGCAAACAACGACAACGACAACGACAACGGCAACGACAACTCGTTAGCACGAATTTCAAGCGGGCGAGAGACCGAATTGGCGGGGAGTGTCAACGCCTCTTAAATGGGCAGCTTTTTAGCCATTTTTTCGGCAACAATGGCCAAACAGGAAAAGCCACTTCACTCCACTTTGTTCTTGCTCTGGTTCTTGTTCTTCTTCTTGGCCGCTGATACTTTTTGGCAAATTTTCATAAACTGTTATTTATTTTTACTGCACAAACGAAAATGTGCTGCCAGCCAGCGCAGAGGAAAAGAAGTTGCGAGCAATTTTCTGCTGCTTTTCGTTGCTCATTTTCGGTTTGCTGGCGGAAGTGAATTTGCACAAAAAATAATAGGGAACATGCTCTGCGCTTTTGACCAAAAACTGCCAGCCCAAATAGAAATGTTTACACCAACCAAAAAATAAATACTGCTCAGCTCAGGAAGGGGATCCAGCTCATGAAGCTCAGGGGCTTCTGCGGGAACGGGAAATGTCCATAAGCCAACTTAACAACGGCAAGATGGCAGCGCATTCCGTATTTACATAAAAACAAATGACCAGCATTTTCCGTTTGGGGTCGCAGCTTTGTGATCAAGCCAAGGGGGCAAATCCAGGGACAAACTCTGAAATGGAAAGAACTGTTCGCCAATGAGGAGGTACGGCCGGGGTTGTAATTATGCGGCACTTCTAGATGCAGATGCAGATGCAGGCAGAAATGTCAAGGAATGTGATTTCCTTGGGAAAAACGTTGCGAAGATGAGGTGGCAAAATCCACCTTTTTGTGGGAAATCGTTATCGCAATGGATGATCAGATGCGGAGTGGAACAAATAAAAGTATTGCAGCATTCCATTACGGGGATGAGCTTTTGAAAAAGTGTAAAGTGGATTGTGCAGACTTAAAATCGCAAATCCCTCTTTAATTATCGGAACCCCATGTGAGACTTCGTGCGAGACATGGTTTTAAAGTCGGCATCGCCCTTATATGAATTAGTTTCTACTAGAAGGATATGGCCGAGGGAATCCAGGAGATGATAGATATTTTTTCTAGCCAGTGTGCAGAGCAATATCCTGGAAATGTGTTCCACAATTAAAATCTCCAAGACGTACAGCATTTTTGTACAGGTTTTCCCTGTGCACAGATATTCCCTTTGCCGCCCCATCAAATGGTGGAGAGCTTCAAAAGGGAAGCTTCTGTAATGAGGTTGGCACTCGGGCTTGAGGATGGAATTGGACCCCGTCCAAATGGAGCACATACATCACATCGACGGTCTGCTGTGTGGCCAGAGCCAAACGCGGTCAGTTAGCAACTGAAGAGCCGCCTTATGTAGGCTAGTACCAACATCATTTGCTCTTTATGGCTTAGAGCTCTTGTACGCAACCCCATAACCCGTTCGTCATATAATTTGCACTCATTTTTTAACTCCTTTCTGCGTGCTTTTTGCTGCTTTTAATCAGAGCAAGTGGCTTACTTGCCGAGTGCCCGTAGTTGGGCAACCGATTAGCCCGGCTTAAGCCGTTGGTTCAATGCACTACCACCGGCCCCACCGATGTGTTGTGAAGGACTTGAGCTGCAAAGCTGTGTGCTAACACATTTTAGCTGCGGCATTAGGCCAAATCGGGTTTTAAGTCCATTCTGTTTGCCGAGGTTTTGCAGCCTTAATTCAATTTGCCTACGTAAACCGTCTGCGGATTATAAAGCTGACGGTACATATGAGCGAATATATATGTGTCTGCGACGGGCCCAATGTGGGTAAAAGAGATTTGCCAGCTCCACTCCCGTCCGGCGACTAACCACATCCTCAATTTTCCAGTTGTGCTCAAAAAGAGAGGCGAACTACGAGAAAAACAGTGTGGATCTGCGGGCACACAACTAATTTTGAACACACAGCCTGAATTAAAATTTTTGGAGTGTGCCTGGGCAGGTGGATTTCGTCTTTTAGCAGCTTGCCAACTTCACTTCCTTTTTTGCCTTCTGGCCAAAAGGTTTCTTGGCGGTTTCTCGCCCTTTGCAGCTTGGCTTGTATTCATTTTGGACGCTTGCGAACACATTTGTAACTCGTGTTTCGTATATACATATATAAATATGTATATCATTGGGCAGGTGCTAATGCCACAGGAAAGTCTGGCCGAGTCTTGTAATGATATTGCTAACCTGCCAGGGACCTCATTTGCTTCCTCCTATTTTTTCTGTTTTTGCTTCGGGTCTCCTCTTCTTTTAATATAATTTAAATGGTAAGTGTCTCAGTTCTGCGAATGGTTAACAAGGCAAATTATATTTATTTCATGGAACTATGGCAATTTAAGCGGCATAAATTGCAAGTTGCCTTGTTATGTACAATATAACATTTTGATCGCACACTCAATCTCTCTATGATTTCTGTTATTCACTTCCTCTTTTCAACCCGATCTCACAAAACGATAATCAAACATTTTCAATGCTCAATACTAAATCGGGCATGTATAATTTCAAAATATTACGTTCACTCATGAATTAAGTGATACAACTATCCGTCTTATGAAATAAATATATTAGTCCTGCCACATAACACGTACGAACTATATCGATATTAAGAAAAAAATGAGAAAAACCAGTTTAATTTCTTGTTTTCAAACAATAAACCAATAACCTTAACACTCAGTTTTTTCTTAACTGATTTCACAAGACGATAATCAAACATTTTCTATGGCCACTAATAAATTCGTCATGTGGCATCAAGAAGACCAAACAAAAGAATCGTGTTGATACAGATAGATGATAGATTCGGTCTCTGAATGCAACGCCGACTCTTAGCACTCGACAATTAACACTTGACTTGTACACGAATTTAAAAAGGAACTTTTAACGCCACACAAATTTGATATGCAAATAGTTTTCAATTAACAGATGAACAAATACCGACAATAAGCCCAAACTACGCGAGACAAAAGCGCCAACTTTGTCATCGCAGAACTGGAGGGAAAACTGGGAAAATAATTAAAAAGCGCTCGGCAACGGCAACAATGTCTGTTAGTAAAAGGGCCCATTCTCTCACCTTTCCGTTCTGCAACTTCCCCCTCGAAGTGATGGCAAAAATTAAATTATGTGTGCCACAAAGTTCGCCTGAATTATGTCGCATAAATCAAATAAACAGCAGCCGAAGCAGGCGGAAAAAATAAAAGTTGAGGCTGCAAAAATTGTTGAGGAAAATACTGAAACTGTGAAAAAATTTATACGAAAAACTTTTGCATGTAAAGGGTCGGTTGGGGTTTTGGGGGTTGTGGACCGAGGTGGCTGAGGGGGCTGAGGGGGTGACCTGTGTGTTAAAGCAACACTTGGCTGTGGCAAGAAAATTATTCTCTATATCTATTTGTTGTGAGGCAAAAACCGCAGCAGCAAACGCCGCAGACGCCGTCGACTGGGTAAGCGAAAAAACAAGTGTTTAAATGTCAACGGCAAACAAACTAAAAATCGCTGGCAAAAACCAGCGAGCAGACAAAGGAGTATCTCGACATAAAGTCCCCCACCACGGAAACCCAGTCCCCGATCCTCTTAGCCACAATTCATATGGAAAGATACGACTGCCACCGAGAGCCGGGGACTCATCTTCTTTTTGTTGCGATGGCCCGGCTGAAATGTCATGAACTTTTGCCGCAGACATTTTGCAAGCGGTCATCTGTGAGCTACATTCGGCGGTTCATATGTTTTCAATTTTTACTGGTGGCAGATAACTCACCCAAGAGCACGGCAAATGTCAGAGTTATCCGAAACTGCATCTTGTAGGTTGCTTGATTGCTGGAATTCGTTGTAAGATTGCGACACACTCACTCACTCACTCACTTCAACTTGTTTACAGTTTGCTTATGTTTTGTATCTTTCGGGTTAATAACAAGCCTTAGCCGATTCTAGGCTTGGCCGCACTTTGCCATGCATTTCGCAGAACATTTTTCAGCACTTGTTTCTCACTAACAGTATGTACGGACTGTCTGGGACTTAAAACTATTTTTCGATTATTTGTACTCTTCGAATATTTTTATGTGTTTCGGCGCAAAAAGTTCGGACTTCAGAGACGCTACGGGGAGCCACACAAATGTTTGTCAACATAAAGCACGCGCAGACCGACCAAGACTAAACGCAAAGTATCTGTATCTTTTAGCCGACAGGTCCAAGCGCGGCTCACAAAAGATGGAATCGAACTCGAACATCGGTGGTGCGAAAAACATGCTGCGGCGCAACTTATACGGATGGACTTGCAGCAGCAGCATAGTTCAGGGGTTGAGGTCCCCACTAGGTTCAACATATAAGACAAAATATGCGTGTTATAAGTAGGAAAGCCTTATACTTCGAACGTTAAATATTTCATAAATTCGTCGGTCAGCACAGGTTAAAAATAAAACTTTTTTTCAACTCCCTTATTTTCATTGTTGTTTTTTTTCTATTTTTCTATGTACATGTCTGATATCTAAAACAATTTTTTCTCCTGCAAGAAGTATTCGTATCTTTTAGAACACCTCGACTTCGTTTTTGTCACAGTTTCGTAAAGATATCGTACGTTTCTCTCACAGCATCCACTGCTTCGGCGCCAGAGAGGTTTGTGACTCTGCTAATTGTGCAGACGGGCTCTTATACATAAGCCCCAACTCATAGCTGAATCGCTTTTCGAAGAGTGGCGCCACCAAGAAACTGAAAGTCGCATACCTATAAGAGCTGTATAAGCCGTGCCACAAACTTAGTATAACCTGTCTTATAAGAGCTGTATAAGCGCTATTTTCCTGGCTGAATAGATTTTAGAAGAGGATGAGATTCAAACTTATATGAGAGTTTTTTAAACCCGCTTATAAGAGCTTCTGTTAGAAGAGTTTTATAAGTTGGCCTTTAAGAGTGCTACTTCACAGATAAGATTTAAGAGTGGGCTTCAAACTTTTTCGAAGTGTTTGTTGCTGTCTCGAGTGTTAGGCTTTTGGTTATGAAAGTAAAAGTAAAAGTATATCTAGGACTACGGGTGTGAGGCGAAAACTTCATTGAACAGCGGCAAACAAAAAATATCCTAGAAGTTTTCGACTTAAGTGAAAGTGCCAGCAATGAGATGAATTAGAAAAAGTTTATGCCAGCAGAAATATTTGAGTAATAGGAAATGAATTGACCCGGATTTGGGATTACTGAGGATGAGTATCAAAAGTTATGAGACACCAGAAAAACATATTCAAATAACTTATAATCCTGTTAAGATGTAAGCCGAAACGAGTGTAAAAGTCTGAGAATAGGTTCACAGGGCTTTAACCAGTCAGTTGCTCGAAAATTTAATTAAACTCTCTTTCAACTTGACTGCCACTCGGACAAAACGTTAACAGGTCATCAACATCAAGTTAAATATTGAAAATCAAACAATTTTCTGCACTTCGCAAATTCCCATTTCGATGGGAAATACTATAAATAAAAATGGCCATGCACTCTTACGGTCGAATATCTCCACCATATGATATTTCGATTGGTGGACTTTACTTTTTAAATTAATTAAATACCTCGCACATCTCGAACAACACAAATCGCAATGCACTCGAGTTTTGCTTTTGCAGCTGATGAATTGCAATAAAATGCACTTCAACCGAATAACAAAAATCGGTTCAGGGAAATTGGACTTTCTGCACTTCCACAACAACGAAGGAAAAACAGCAAACAAGTTGGAGGGGAATCAACAAATATGTTTGTTTGTCTGTGCATCTGAATAATACAAATAGTGTGGGGGCGGGGTGCCACAGAAATAAATCGAGGGTGGCTCATGTTACTGGCGATCAGGGATATTAAAATATATTTTTTTATAAAGAGTTTTACAGCTGAGTTCTCTTTATCTACCAACCAATTCAACAAAATTGATGGTATATCAATTGTATCACTAAACTCGCTGCATATGCTAAGTATCTGTGATGTTACCATATAAAACCATGAAATCGTTATCAATGAAGGTGGGATTATCATAACGATTCGGGGCAGCACTCTCCTGATTTTTGATGTGTGAAATGAGCTGCTCCGGCAGACATTCGGGGGGACAGACAGGAGGGATGTAGCATATAGATATAGCCTGAATAATGTGGTGGCTCAACTAGTGCACAGCCCGGCTTTATTAATGGCTCATAATGACTTAAGTGAAATTACTGAAGCGTAACTGGCCGCGCTCCTCGCTATCTGGCCATCTCCCTCTGCCACTCTAGCGCCGTCCCTTTCCGCCTAGCTGGCCCATTTGAGCTGCAACCATAAACGGCGAGAATTCCCACGCGGCATTTAATATTCTGTTGCCCGAGTAAATTCTACCCCAACCCCTCACAAAACCCACCCCATTTTGACCCGGCTAACATGTTGCTTCTTCCTCTTGACGGTCGTCGTCGTTGTTGCTGTTGTAGTTGCTACCACTGCTGCTGTGCAAGTTGTTAAGGTCAGTTCATATATATTACGCTTTGGCTGGCTAAAGGTGCCATAAGTCTGCCACCGTGTGTATGGTGTACAAGTAGTTCTCCCCATTCCCCCCTCTTCAGTCTGCAGCCTCCTTTCACTTTTCCCGCACTCCACGGGCAACTGTTGCCTACTTTGCCGCTTTTCCTTTCCATTCCTTTCCTTTGCGTTTTGTTCGGTTCCTTTCTGCCTGCTAATTAAGCGAAATTTTGCGTAATAAGCTTGTCTGTAATTTGCGCCATCTTCTGCCTTTTCTTTTCTGCCATTTTGTGTGCGAGCGTGTGCGTTGCTTTTGGCCATTCTACGGTTTCTGTTAACTGTCATCAAGGTGTTCATTGACTTTGTTATTATACCTCAATGGGTTTCGGGGAGTAGCTCCGTGCAGAACGAACTCCGAAGATAGACGGCAGGCAATTTCTCCTCTAAATGCGAATGCCGAGCAAAAGTTACTCAGGCTCGAATGGGTACAAGTCCAATGATTCACCGGGCTTCCAATTATGTTCGTACGGAAAATTAATTAGACTTGATTAACATAACAAAGAGAACCATATAGGAATTCCTGAAACTGGAAACTCATTAGGGCTTTCCAACTCGGAGAGACTCTAATTAATTATTAACTGATCAATTTGGCTAATTCTTGGATCACAAGCTACAAAGGTCTCTCATATGAAGTACAAATTATTTTACACTTCATTTACTAACATTGTTTCGGAAGTTATCTGCTAGTAAGGCTAAAAAAAGTACTTTTAATACAGGACAGTAAGCAATCCAAGTTAAATTTAATATTGGGTTAATTAAAGGCCCCTGTAATCCCGCGAAACTGACTGAAATTACCTTTTTGGCGCTACAGGAATACATTTTCCAGCTCCATTCACACGCTAGGAGCCAGGAGCACCGCAGTGAACCCAAATCCGAGAGATACTCACATGCACTTCAATTCCGAGCCAACAGCTCCCCGCTAATGTGGGGCTCAGAACCTGCGCCAATGTTTGCCACTGATAAGTACGCATTATTTACGCTACGCCTAACCCGGCACACGCATAATTTCATCAAAAATTCACACCGCCAGACAGACAGCAGAGCTGAAAAGTGTAATGAAAAAATGTGGAGCGGCGGGCGAACAAAAAATTGTAGATAATCATATTGTGAAAATTTTAACACCTGCTGCTTGTTGTGGTTTTGTTGCCCTTCCAATTTTATCTGCTGCGACTGGATATCAAGCAAAATAATAAAGGCATTATTTACACAGCCACGGTGGCAACAAAAGCCAAAATGTCATTACACACATGCACACACGCACACACACGGTCTGATTTGTTGGTGTTGTTCCAACGCATGTAAACAAAACCATTGAATTAAACCGAAAATTAGCATCGATTTAAGTCAAGACCCGGCGTATTATCCCCACGGCTTACCTATGTGCCCCAGACCCCCCAAACTCGCCGCGACTTGGCCCGCTTATCAGTTGCGCCAACTGGAGCAAGGAGCACAAGCTCCCAGCACCCAGTACCCAGCAGAGTCCCCTTCCAAACACCTCGCCCAGTTGGCTTTAAACAAATTTTGAGCATAATTTAAACATGTGTTGGCCCCCGCGAACTACCCGCCACACGGCCTGCCACGAATGCGTACACGCCGCGTACGCCTAATCCCTTTTAATCCGCGTTTCGGCAACGTGTGTGCCTACATAACCCCAACAGGAAAACAACAACAAGCACCCCGCCCCGCCCCTTTCCCTTCTTCGCCTCCTTCCCCCGCAGGACCGGCAGGACCAGCAAAAACAGCGAAATGCAAATGCAAATCCCGCCGGAGTCGCTGATAAGGCGTCCGTGTATCTCTAACCAGACTGTCCTCATTTCTCCGCTTTTTTTTGGCGGATTTTCAAGTGGTTTTTCAGCCCGCCGAGATCCTTGATAGATGCAAGTGTGAACTCAGTAACTAAAGCCTAAATGGGAACCTCTTACCTGAAAACCGCACTGGCTGCCAAGGATATGGATACTTTTCCCGAGTAAATATTTGAGAGCACCACGAGGTTGAAGCTGAGGAAACCTTGTAAGCGGGAGTTATCTTGTAAACATATTTGTGGAAAACCCTTACATAAAAACATATTCTTAAGTAACTTCGAACGACATGAGAAGCCTTGGTAATTCTGTTCCCTTGATAAAAGAAAAAATAACTGCAAGCAAATAATTTAATAGACTCGAAGTTTATTTAAATTTCGTATTGACTAAACAATGCTGTCAGCCAGAAAAGCCAGGTATTTATTCAAAGCTGCTGCTCGATCTCGCATCCTCAGCTTGCCTTTTTCATCTCTTATCTTCTGTATAGAATCAATGGGAAGGAAAAGTAATATTCATGCGCTCCCCCCTTCAGCAATCAGCTCTTACTTTGCTTTGACGCAACGACATTCTGGATGAGGAGGAGCCTGGCTTGCATTCGTTTTATTCTGTTGCATTTACTTGGAAAATTTAATTCATGCAATATTAATTTCCATCATAAAAAAGACTTTTGTGGCAGAGAGTGAAAGATATGGATAGATTCTGTTGCTGAATGTCATAAATGTTGCACGTATAGCACACAAGAAGACGGAGAATAGAAGTAAAATAAAATGTAAGCTCGAAAGTAGTAAACCGTAAAGCTCTGGCCGGGAACAAAGGACAGGGCCGAGAGCAG